ATCTATCTATCTATCTATCTATCTATCTATCTATCTATCTGTCCCCTCCATCCATCCATCCATCCATCCATCCGTCGGTCCGTTCGTCCGTCCGTCCATCCATCCATCCATCCATCCATCCATCCATCCATCCATCCATCCATCCATCTATCTATCTATCTATCTATCTATCTCAGCACCAAGAGGAAAAGCAGACTATCATCACTATAATAATAAGTAAATAAACCACTGGTGGAACAGTGGTTAAGTACAGCATTATAGGCAAACTCTGACCATAGTCTAGAGTTTGATCCTGATTAGGTCAAGGTTGACTCAGCTTTTCATCCTTCCGATGTCAGGAAAATGAGGACCCAGATTGTTGGGGACAATATGCAAATAATGCTGACATTATAAACCAGCCAGAGAGTGATGTAAAGCACTATGGGACAGTATATAAGTTCAAATGCTAATGTTAAATGCTAATAAGTAAATAAAATGGTTCTACTGAATAATTGAGTTGTGAGCCGCCCTGAGTCCCCCCAGGGAAAAGGGCGGCATATAAATTTAATAAAATACTAAATACTAAATACTAATTACAGATCAACCAATTCATCTTCCCACCTTTCATATAAATGACTGAATAAAAATAAAATATGAATACAAATGAATACAAATTAATCATAATCTATCCCTGCATTTGTGAGATTCAAGGCAACAGAGAATCAGCTGTTGAAGCACTTATTATTTTATGCTGCAAAGAGCTGACCTCATCTATACACTCTGCATACTTACTGGTCAAGGGTTATCACATCATAGTGGCCACTATACTGCCGAGCCAGGCGCAAAGCAAGGTCATTTGCTTCAGAGCTGTAAAAGAGTATTAGAAAAGCAATTCAGGGATTTTAGCTCAAAACATAGTAATTGGGGAGGAGGAATGTGTTTATAGCATAAACACAATATGAAAACATTAATATTGTTGGTTATGTTACATCCGATTCAATCAGATAAAAGCAGGGCAACTGCCTGAATTGCAATCAAAGTTGCAACATATAACAGGATTCTCTTTGGGCATTAAAACCAAAAGGTTGCCCATACATGTTTGCACACACCTGTAGAATAGATAACCTCGCTAAATCTTTGTGTAAGGCAGTTGCCCAAAAATAAATTTAATTATTTCCAAACATGATTCTCACAGAATTTCTTAAGCAGGATTTATTCAGTGCAGTGCAGACTGGTGTTAAATAAATAGCAGCGACTATTTGTCATTCAAAACCAATATGCCCCTCAACTACATGAAGGAGAAAGGAAGGGGAGATTTTTTTTTTCTTCCTATGATCCAGAGAACTGGCAGAAAAGACCTTCTGACATACCCAGAGTTCACAAAGTAGCAAACAGAAAGCTTCTCCGGTAGGGTAGCTGTGAGGCGTTTGGCATACTGGACCAGATTGTCATGCAGGAACCGAGAATTGGTATTAAGAAGCTCCATTTGTTTCACTGCAGCCTTGACTACATCAGGATGGCTGTGTCCAACTAAAAAGGATCAAGTATAAGGAAAGCTCTTAGTCCACAGATCTCTTTAGCAACACAGTGTAAGGTTCTTAATTCTGCCCTGCCTTAATGGTTTGCTTTCAACATTGCTGTAGACACGTGCCAAATGAAGGCAATTATTAACTGATTTTGTGTGGCTTTGGGCTGTTAATTAGGATGTTGACCTCAACACCCTAACTGACCAGGGGTGGGTTGCTGCTGGCATCACCCGCGCACCACATGTGCGCTGCTCACGTCTGCGCTGTTCAATGTAAATTGTTCTTTGCGCAGGCACAGAACAATTTACAGTGAACTGTGCATGCGCAATCACTAAAATCCAAAATAGTGCTGGCTACGTGGCAGTGAGGAGACTGGTTCGGGGGCGTAGCAGGTCTGGGTCGCTGCTGGGTCTGTGACCCAGATTAGCGGTTTGGCCGAACCAGGCAAAACCGGCAGAAACCCAACTCTGTAACTGACCATATAAATACAACGCATAAAGCAGCCCAATGCACAGATTCTGGAGACAGAAAAGTTCACTGAGGATGGAGTCCAGCACGAACCCCAAAAGCTTGGAAAATGAAACCTTTGGTCCTGGTGACCGACTCAGATTGGATCCTGCAACATATCACATGTTTTCTTTTGCTCAGGATAGGTCTCCCTGGGGATCGAGAATAGGGATGTCAAACTCAAGGTCCGTGGGCCAGCCTGTGGCATACGTAGACCTGGCCCATGGGACCTCCCTGGAAACAGCAAAGAACCGGCCTGCGGTGCCTCTGCCAGCAAAAATGGAGCTCAGGAGGGCTGCACGCAGCCCGCCTGAGGTTCGTTTTTGGCCACAATGGCCTCCTGCAGCACTCTGCCAGCAAAAACTGCAGGCTGCCTCCCCCACGCTCCGTTTTCGCTGGCAGAGGGCTGTAGAAGGCCATCGTGGCCAAAAATGGAGCCTCAATGAGTGATGTCAAGTTTGCCATACTCCCTCTGCCACCACCTCCCGGCCACACAAACACACCAGCCCCCCAAGGTCAAACACAACCCTGATGTGGCCTTCAATAAAATCAAGTTTGACACTCCTGGTCTAGAAAGATACAGATGGTGGACCATGTTCCTCTGTACATGCACCTTTGTGAGGAAATCCTTTTCTCCCCTTACTTAGGCTTTCTTTTCTAAACTTGACAAGAAGGATGACCAAAATTTATTTCTATTATATCTATTAATGAAAATATTTCTGGTAGAACGGGTGAGCTTCATGCCATGGCTACTGAATGCGTCAATTTGGTAATTTGTTGACGTTGGGGCAATAGCAGACTCCTTAATTCTTACCATGTGCTACATTGTTAATGCAATCCAAGTATTTTTCTCCATTCTCATCGAACATGTATTGTCCACGAGCCAGCACAATCTTAATGGGATCTTTAGCAAAGAAAACTTTGCATGATGGCCTGCAAGAGATAATATCAAATTGTTTTAATTTGGATCAGCTCAACAGCGTTGCTAAGCCTACATGTACACAAACACAAAAATGCTTTGCATTCTTTACTTTCAGTGGTCCTTTAGCACTGAGACCTATTAATGTGCTTGGCGATACATTAAACAGAGCTGAAGTTCATGATGCATGCACATTCATTGTTCAGTGTGAGGAATTTGAGGAAAGGCCGTGCCAGGTCAAAACATGACAATTCAGTTTAGCCAATTCAGTCATTAATCTGCAAGACACTTAGTGATGACAAGTGTTGATACACTAATGGAGTTGGGTGTCTGAATTGGAATCTCCGTTCTACTGTAATCTGTTAACTGAGAACGTTTTTCCTACAATCTATGTTGAAAACCATGTGAACAGGTTCCTCTGTTCCAAGCTAAGAACCTAAATCAAGTTTTAACCAAGAAACAATTTTGAAACAATAGACCCGTGATGGCGAACCTGTGGCACGTCTGTGGCACACAGAGCCATCTCTCCAGGCTCACCAGCCGTCGCCCATTGCTCTTCTGGGTTCCGGCACGCCGACCAGTGGTGTTTGCGGACGTGAGAGCTACCTGGCGGACATGTGCATGCCGGGAAGCTGAGCTTCGTTTCTGGCACGCGCATACACACTTGCCAGCTGGTCTTTGTGGGCACATGCACACCAGAAACCGGAAGCTCAGCTTTCTGGAGCGTGCAAGCATGCCAGGAGCTGCTCTTCTAGTTTCTGGCGCTCCCTTGCAGATGCACGCTCCCGTTTCAGCACTCAATGCCGAAAAGGTTCACCAACCCTGCAATGGACCTTTGAACACATTACAAAAAGGAGACTAGCCCTCCTCCCATTTTCCATCTGACTTATCCTAGATTTGTGCCTGAGGATGCATGAAAGGGTTTCTTCCACCTGTGGGATAAATTGTGTGCACAGAAAAACAAATCAATAACATAGTTCTGTTATTGAGGGGAAAAATCCCAACCTAAATAACATACAAGTCTGTCTACTTTTATGTTTGGAAAGTTTATATATATGTATATATGTATATATGTATATATGTATATAT